TCTCTGAATTCACCTGGAGTCACACAACTACACTTGCTAAAGAAAAGGAAATAGATTTGACACCATGTACCATCTAACACAGAATTGTCAGAATAGGTGAACAAGAAATTTAAATAAGCACGTTAAACATACATATGTAAATAAGAAAAGATATTAGCAATATAAGCCAAGAAAAAGAAATCATGAAAAAAAAACACCTTATGTGTAAATGTTGGTGATGAAGAATATAATCAATGAAATGGAATAGCCGGCTGAAGACTGACACAGGGAGTTAGAAGCTTAGATTGAGAAATAGAAATGGAAAATAGAAAAGAACATCTAAGAGGTGTGGAGGATAAATGTGCCAACATCCAGATAATGCAAGTCCCAGGAGGTGGGAGGAAAAATCGAGGGAAGTAGTAAAGAAATAATGAATATAAAATTCTTATGTTTAAATAAAGGTGAAAGGACCTAAGGATGAACACAGGACAGATAAAGAAAAACTGACAACCTAGACGCATTGTAGTGAAAGCTAAGGACCTCAAGGACAAAGAGGGGAATTCTAAAGGCTTCCGAGGGAAAAGCAGAAAAGCATCCACAGGGCTGGCCGAGTGGCTCAGTTGGTTAAGAGTGCGAACTCTGAGCAACAGGGTCACCGGTTCGATTCCCACCTGGGCCAGCGAGCTGTGCCTGAGCTGAACTGCCGCTGAGATGGTGAGAGCACATGCTGTTAGCAGCAAGGTTGCTGGTTCGACCCCCTTATGGGATAGTGGGCTGCACACCCCGCAACTAAGATTGAGCATGGCACCTTGAGCCGAGCAGCCGAGAGCTGCTGACAGGAGGCTGGATGGCTCAGTGTGCAACAAGGTTGCCGGTTCAACCCCTGCATAGGATGGTGGGCTGTGCCCCCCACAACTAGATTGAAAGCAGTAACTGGACTTAGAGCTGAGCTTGCGCCCTCCACAACTAAGATTGAAGGACAACAGCTGGACTTGGAGCTTATGGGTCCTGGAAAAACACAATGTTCCCCTTCCCCAATTCCCCAATTCCCCAACACTGTTCCCTTCCGCAATTCCCCAATAAAAATCTTAAAAATAAAAAAAAAAGAAAACCAGCCACAGATTAGGAGTGAGACTAATATCAGTCTTCTCACCAGCAATACTGGATGAAAGAAGCAAATGGAGACCTATTTCTAAGGTATAGAAGAAAAAAAATGGAACCTAGACTATTATAACCTTTCAAATGGTTGTTTGATGCGCGGTTGTAAAAGAAATGTGCCCAGAAATAGGAGGCCTCCAAAATTTTGCACACAAAACTTACATGGAAAAAAATTCTTGGAAGAATCCTCAATTTGGAAGTGCAAAGACTTTACTGAAGGGTGAGAGGTAGCAGAGCAAACAAGCCATTGCTTTTCCCTTCCCCTTGACTGAGGCAGAAGAAAAGAGCAAGCTTTTAATTATGGCGTTTTCAAAGGGCATTTCAGAGCCTCTGCTTGGAAATTGAGAGCGATCGTCGAGGAATAAGATAGTCCCATCCTTACTCACTCCAGTGTGTCCTGAAGGGTTGCAGGAAAGGAAACAAGATTCTACCTACATTCTAATAAACAAGTAAATAAGAAACACTTACTCCAAGTCGATGGACAAAAGCATATTGCTAATTGTAAAACAGTTAAGGGCATTTGTCTTTCCTCAGTATGGGTTCGACCAGGGCTTCGCAAAGTGGGGTCCATGGGCCAGAGCAGTGATCCCGGTCCATTTGGTGAGTCCATTTGATATTGAGACGGAGAGTAAGTGTTTAGAAATTTCCAAGCAATTTGACGGAGTGCTTTTATGTTCTCTGAATCAATTAAGACATTTGGGTTCATATTCGGTATGTCTTTTATTTTACAAAAGTAGTGATCCGAGACAGGTCAAGGGCAAAGAGCACTGGTCCCTTCACCAGGGTTCGTGTGAGAAGTGCGGGGTTAGACCAAGGACCGGCAAACTTTCCCTGTGAAAGGTCATACGTTCCCTGTTGTAACTATTCAGTTCTGCTATCTTGGCATGGCAGCAGCCATAGACCATAGGGAAACCAAAGATTATGGTTGGGTCGCAATAAAACTTTATTGCCACTAAAATGTAAATTTCATATCATTTTAATGCATCACAGATTATTCTTCTTTTGATTTTTTTTTAACCATTAAAAAAATGTAAAAACCATCCTGACCTTGTAAGGTATACAAAACCAGGCAGTGGACAAATCTGACTCACCCCATCTTGTCAATCCCTGGGTTAGACTACATTGTCTCTGAGAATTAGCGTCTGTCTCAGGGAGAGGAATGTGTGTGTGTTTGATGGTGCTAATTTTCTTTTGAATAAGAAATATATTCATAGGGCTAAAACTATAATATATTTGAGAAGTCCCCTTCTCACCCCATCTGTGCCCACCCCATTTCCCTGCCAGCTCTGATCCCTATAGGTAGCCATTTACATTAACGTCTTGTGTGTTCTTTATGGTTTATGGCAAATTAACAAGTACATATCCATATTTCCGCACTTTTCTACGTAAACGTAGCATGCCGTTTATGCTGCTCTCCACTGCCTTCTTCTCACTTGCTGCCATCGTGGTGACTTTCTATATTGCAACAGAGAAAGCTTCCCTCAGCAAACAGATGCATTCCACTTTGAGGTTGTATCATTGTTTATTTAACTCATCTTCTCTACCTGGACTCTTGGGTTATTTCCAACCCAACCCAGAATAATGTGGCAATAAAAAAAATGTCTCATGCATCACTGTGCATGTGGTATGTATGTGTGTGTGTGTGTGTGTGTGTGTGCGCGCGCGCGCGCGCGCGTGCCTTCATAGAGTAAATTTCTAGAAGAGGAGTTGCTCAACCAAAAGATAAATGCATTTATCATTTTTGTAGATTTTCCCAGTGAGCCGTCTGTGGGCATTTTGCACTCCCACTAGCTGCATACAAGAGTCCCAGTTCCCCCATGCAGCCTTGCCGATAGGGCGGGTTGTCCCGCTTTTGGATTTTTATCCATTCTAATAAATAAGATGATATCGCAGTGGAATTTTAACTTGCATTTCTCTTAGTATGAGTGACAGTGAACATGACCAGGGCTAACGAAGCATCTTTATGCAGAATTAGAAAAAGGCACCCCTTCTGGGATGAGGAATTACAGAGAGGCACTGCCTATGGGTCAGGGCAGATCTTGCTGAGCTGTGCATGGGCTGAAGCTTGGCTTGCACTCAGGCCTCCTGCTCAGGGTGCCCTTGTGCAGAGTTCCACACCAAGCAGCTCTGATGGTGATGATCAAAGTACCAGTGAGGCTGTAGTCAGTCCAGGTGGACAGCCCAGCAGAACCCTGGATGACAGGAGGGGAAGTAGCATCCAGGCGCATACTTTTTTTTTTTTTTAAGATTTTATTGGGGAATTGGGGGAGGAGAACCGCACTGGGGATTTGGGGAAAGGAAACAGACAAGTTGCTGTCCTTTTTCGTTCTTCAGTCTAGTTGTGGGGGACGCCGCTTCACTGGCCCATGTTGGTATTATGATCATTGCGCTCTTCCCGGCTGAGGCAGTCGGTCGCCGGCCATTGGGTGGCTGCTCATGGCAGCTCATGGCAGCCCACTGCAGCCCCACTGCAACCTACCCCGTCGCCAGCTACACATGGCAGCCCAGCTCCAGATCGAGCTGTTGTTCACCATCTTAGCTGTAGAGGGCGCAGCGTCACTGGCCCATGTGGGAACCAAACCGGCGGCCCTGCTGCTCAGAGCTCACGCTCCCAAGCCAACTCTTAACCAACTGAGCCACTTGGCCAGTCCCAGGCACATAATTTATGGATCCCAGTGCAAAGTAAAATGCAGGGCCCTATGTTATTAAGAATTTCAAAATGGCTGGGGCACAACACTCAACTAGGTTCAGGCTCTTCTGAACATGGGACCCCATGGGACTCTGCGTGGGTCGCAGCCCAGGAAGCTGGCTCTGGATGAGGGAATAAGGACCCAGGATCCGGGGCCAGTGTCACATGGACCCACCTTCCCCAGGCTGGCAACACAGGAGAGCATCGTACTATATAGATTATGTGAGCTACAGCTCCCCAACAAATCAAGACCAATTGTCCTGTTTTCCCCCAACAGGCTAGCAGGAGCTGCTCTCACTCAGGAGAGGAGAGGTGGGTGGCTGGGTTTCACTTGTAATACTAATAACACATACAGACATGCCAGATCCAGCGCTTTACATTCGGTATCCCTTTTAATTCTCCAACAAGCTCATGCAGTTGGTACCAAAGTGAAGTCCATTTAGATGAGGGGACGAAGGCTTAGGGAGGTGGTATTGGAGGACCTGACTCAGCCAGTCTGACTCCAGCATCTGGATTTTTAACCCCTTACACCATATTGCCTTGTACCAGTTTGTTCTCACACTAACAGTGCCTGGGGCAGTGTGTGCACACGTGACAATTAAGTTGGCAAACTTGTTGCAACCATGTTGCTAACCTTTTTTTAAATATCAAAGGGAGTATTCATTATGAATTTGTACCAACTGGACAAAGAGTTAACCACGTTTACTATTTGAAAGTGCTGAAAAGGCTGCGTGAAAAAATTAGACGACCTGAACTTTTCACCAACAATTCATGGCTCTTGCATCACAACAATGCACCAGCTCACATGGCACTGTCTGTGAGGGAGTTTTTAGCCAGTGAACAAGTAACTGTATTGGAACACTCTCCCTACTCACCTGAGCTGGCCCTCAATGACTTCTTTCTTTACCCGAAGGTAAAGGAAATATTGAAAGAAAGACATTTTGATGACATTCAGGACATCAAGGGTAATACGATGACAGCTCTGATGGCCATTCCAGAAAAAGAGTTCCAAAATGTCTTTGAAGAGTGGTCTAGACACTGGCATTGGTGCATAGCTTCCCACAGGGGAGTACTTCGAAGGTGACCATAGTGATATTCAGCAATGAGGTATGTGGCGCTTTTTCTGAGATGAATTCGCGAACTTAATTGTCACACACACACAGTTTGCCAAAGAATTGCTTTATTGGGAAGAGACCTGGGGAGTGTAGCTGCCATACCTAAGCAGGAAGCAGGGCTTAGAGGACAGTGAAAAGGGGGAATTCTCCTGCTGCCCAAGGAAGAGGGGGATAAGAGGCGAGGTATACATGTCTCAGGGCCTCTCAGTCTGGACAGAAAGTTTCTATCTGGGGATCAAAGGGCTCCTGGTGAGGCATCCAGGGTAAGGGGACCCTCAGCACTGGAGGGCCCTGTTGCCGCACTGCCATTTTTTGTAGAATTGGTATTTTTTATTATAGGTGTTCCGGTTTCTCGCAAAACAGGTAGCAGCCACTTTATCACATTCACACAGTTGACTTCTACAGTAGTCCTGTTTTGCTGAAATCACAAGAAAATAAATACCAAATGGGGGTTTGTTAATATTTTATGGCTCCCTGTGGGAACCCTGGGGGAGAAGACACAGCCCCTGGCCCCCAGAAGCTTCTAGCCTGAGACAAGCACTTGTGCTCCAAGTATTTCTGACGGTGGGGAGACAGAGTCCCTGCCCTAGGCTGATGGGGACACGAACAGCCAAGCACTAGGCAACTCTGTTAAAGGCCTTCCTGACAGCCATTGTTCCTTTCTTCTTGCTAACCGATGTGTCCAGGTACAAAGCCCATCCCCTTAGGGCCTGGGGATGGGTCATGATAGGTGTAACCCAGTCCTGGTCATCCCTTTGACCTTTGCAGTGATTGGTCTCTGGGTAGCACATGACCTTGCTCTGGCCAATGAGCCCCAAGGGGAGGTCTTCTGGGGGCTTTGGGAAGGATTAATTTCCATCTTCAAAAAGAGAGATGTAGATGGGGAAAGCCTCTTTTGTAGGGTAAGGCCATGATGCTTGGAGCTGCAGTGTGTGTCTCGGCATCACATCGCCAGCATGGCAGAGCAGATAGCCAAAAGGCTGGGTCCCTGAGGACACAGCTGAGAAGCTACCTCAGTCCTGGCACTGCCCTCTTCCCAACTTCTGTAACGTGGGAGCCAGACTTCCCCATTATCAAGCCCTTTCAGTTGGGTATCTTGTTGCTTACACCCCAAAATCTGCTAAAGAGACATGACTTACGGAGAGGTCATGATAGGGGAACATCATTTCTGATCTTCAGGGGCTCGGACTGTTGGGCGAGAGTCTATGCTTTCTCAAAATGCCACTTGTGGATCTGCTGTCTGGGGGCACATGGTTTCCGCGGCCACCCAGCTCTCTTCTCCCCGTCAGTGCCAGACTTTCTCCAGAATGTTGTCTACACTTAGCTGTCTCAGCTTCACTTCCTGCTCGGTCCCCAACCCGCTCTAACCTGGCTTTGCCCTCACCCTCCATGAAAACAGCCCTCACTGAGGTCCTCCATGGCCTTCCTGCCGCTAAACCCAAGAAGCCTTGTTGGCCCTTATCCTGGAGGCTCCTCTGTTAAACTGGCTGCTGTTCATCATCTCCTCGCCAACAACTCCTCAACCTTCTCTGAGCTCCCCCCTTCCCTCTCAGATTCTCCTCTGTCTTCTTTCTGGAACTTGAAACATCAAATGGGTGAGCTCTCTGCTGCCGACTCCTGAATCCGTGCTCCCGGTCCAGACCGCTCCCTGCAGCTGTGAGCTCCTACATCCAGCGGCCTGCTGCACATCTCCCGTGGCGTTCTGGAAGCCTTTTAAACTCAACATGCTCTAAATATAACTCCACGTCTTCTTCCAGTTGTTCTAGCCACACCGTTGTACTCCCACTCAACAGCTCCCAGCCCCCTACCCAGCCAATCACCGAGCTCATCTGAGTCTCCCTCAAGTCCATCTTATGTTACTCCCCACCCCTTCCATCCTGACCACCATCGCCATATGTCTAGTCCTCGCTACTTCTTGTCCGCATTATGGCAATCTCATGGCTCTGTCCTTCCATCTGTCTCCACCCGCCTTGCAGCCGGGGTGAGTCCTCTGAAATCCAAATCTGATCACATCACTCCTTTGCTTAAGAGCCTTAGGACCAAAATCAAAATACAAGAGGGCCTCGGCCTGTTCTAGCCCCTTCCCATCCCTCCGGCTGTCACCTCCCACCACCATCTCCCTCTCCTCCTCACGTTTCTCTTCAGCCCCACAGAATAGCAGTTCCCGGGGTCCCTTTGCCTCTGCTGAATCCTCTTGCTGGAATGCCTGGAACCCCACCCCCCACCCCCCCATGCCGGCACAGGTTTGAGGATTCAGCTTGAATGTCCTGTGTTCAGGAGCCGTCCTGAACCTCAGGCTGCATTCAGGGCTCCACCCTGTTGCTTACTTCCTATTGGAATCTCCTGTACTGCACTTTCATTTTCTTTACGAGTCACTCACCTATGAGCTCCTATGACACTGTCCCTTTGTATCTCTCTCTAGCTCTGGTGCCCAGCACAGGGCCCAGCACAGGGGACACTCAGTAAAACAAACAAAGAAGACTGGGTGGAGATGTAGGACTCTTCCTTACCACAGGTGATTTGGCCCTTGTTGTAAGAAAACTTGTAGCCCAGCAACTTGGTGCCACACCCACGGTTCTGCAACTGTTTGTAGCAACAGTCATGCGCCATGCAGCACCTGTGACGAGAGCTTGCTATTGGGGCTGCCTCCCCCCGCTGCTCCAGGGAGCCTGGTGGCCCACGGTCTCGCCCCCTTGACCTTGGCCAGAGACCCAGTGACTTTGGAATAGGCTAACCCAGGGGTCGGCAAACTTTGGAGACGGAAAAGCTGCCAGGGGTCAGCAAATAGCGGCTCACCAACTGTGGCTCTGAAGTAAAATTGAAAATGAAAATAAAACTACCATAGTTGCATGTATAAAAATTTTAAAGGATATTATTCACATAATGGTGATTATGTAAAAATATATTTATGGCTCTCAAATAGTTTTTAAATTGTTGTGAGGGACAGGATTGGCTCTTCCAGGGGTTGGCAAACTTTTGAGACGGAACGTACCCAAAGAGCTGCATGTGGCTTGTGAGCCGCAGTTTGCCCACCCCTGGTCTAGAGCAGAGTTTCCCACATGCTGGCTGCTTTCCTGGCTGGGACCCCATGGGGTTTTGTGTCAATGAGTCATCAGCACTGCCTTTGCAGCTCCCAGCCCTGCCCAAGCCACAAATGGGCAGAGGGAGGGGAGGGTTGGGGTGGCCTCACCGATCCGTCGCATCCTTGGGGGTTCCTTTTCCGCCCAAGCCACAGTAGCAACCGTAGAAAGCATAAGTAGACATGGCTTCTTTTCCTGTGGTCTTCCAGATCATTTTCTCGAAATTCAGCAAATCCCCGTGGGTTTCCAGCAGACCTGGAAGGAAACCCAGTGATGGAACCTGGGGCCATGTCCTCTTTCTCTGCCCCTCTCTGCTATTCCCCATCACCCCCAGTGAGCAGGGCTGACACAATGGGGAGGGCAACTAGAAATGAGGGTGCTTCCCTCCTGGGCTTCCCCCTTGTGTCCAGAGGTCAGGGTTCGTTCTCACCAAAGACCATGATCATGGCCAACAGCAGGAGGGTCTTCATGTCGACAGTTCTGTGTGGGGGACATGCAGATGGATTGGCCTAGACTCCTCTCTCAGGTGGTCCCAGATTCTGCCCTGGCCCCCTGTTCTCCTGCTCGCAACTCAGCAACCCTGGAGAAAGGAGTCTTCCAGGGAACACACGACATGCTCCTTGACCCAAGGTGACTACCTTCGTCACACACAGAACACACAAGGAGTGTGCAGATCCAGGACCCCCTGAGCCTTCCCAACTCTGTTGAATATTTTCACATACATGCAGGCCTCAGACCCATTGAGACCCCCCCCCCAATACACACATGATACAATAAGGAGACCTCCATGCTCCTCCATGAGAGTTCCTGGAGGTTGCAACCAGGTCACCCCAACCACCTGGGAGATTCCCAAGGTCATAGGTTGTGTGTCCCCCATTAGACATACCTTCCTTGTTCCCAACCAGATTCAAAGTTTGGGAATTCCATCCATGGAGTCCAATCCCCAATATTTTCCTCTGAAACTAAAGCATCTCTTTGCAAGACTTTCCAACCCCTTACACTTTTTGCAAGCACAAACGTGTACATCCTCACACACACATGCATGCGTATACACACGCTTGAGCTCACCCACAAGGGCAAACATCCCTTCACACAATACACCCACAGACCCACACAACACACTTGTGCACACGGATGCTCTTGTACATACCAAATCATGTGTGTGCCTGTTTATGTTCCTGTATACCTATATACACACACATATAAACACACATGCGCACACATGCACAACACAGCCACTCTCAAAGACCGCCAGTGAGCAGGGACTCATACTCCTAACAGGGCATGAATTTCTGGAGGCTTACCTATTAGAGGAACCCGGACTTGATACCTCCAAGTGTCTGTCTTGTTTATTCTGAACTCCAGCTCCCCTTAAATAGGTTCGACCGCTGGGAGGTTGGGAGTTGGTGAGGTACGCTAACAGGGTGGGAGTTCGGCCAGTTGGTGGACTCCAAGTTTGGCCTGATCATACCCGTGGGCAATCCCCGTTTTTCTCCCCTCATTAGCTGGCAGGACAGAGCTGAGGGTGGAAAAACCTTATGTGCCGTTAGCTGATGCCAACATTTTTTGATGACTTTCTCATCTTTCCCATGGGCCTCATTCCCGACTGAGCTCCTGACATTCCCATAAAGAGCTCTGGGTGTGAGCACCGGTCATCTCCCTGGAACCATGTTCATGAGAGGGCAGGCTGTGGACTCCTCGGCCTTGCCGACAGGACCAGTGACTGAGTGGGGATCGCTCCTTTCTTTGGCTAAATGTGGAATTTGGAAATAGGAAAGGGGGGGCACTTATTGTTATTGATTCATTCAATCAATCAATCATCCATTCACAGGAAGTACATACTCAGCCTCTACAAAGTGCTACATGAGCCTCTGGGGGGTGATGAGGAATCGTATCCCGAAGCCCAGGGACCCCAGCAGGGAAAGGGGTGCAATGAGCAGGTGGTCCCATCTCCCTGCCTTGGGCCAGAGCCTCTACCTTTTCTTCTTCTCCTCTTTTCTTCTTCTTCTCCTCCTTCTCCTCCCGTTCTGGAAAAAGCCAGAAACTGCCCTCGAGTTTCCCCTAAAGTACTGTCTCCACCTTATCCCCAGGCCTCACCTGTTCAGAGATGTAACTGATTAACTCTTCCTGGGTTTATTGTTCTTTGTTCTTCAACCATCAGGAACAAAGTAACGCTCCGGCTTTAATTTCTAAAGCAAATATCTTTTATCCTGCCCTCCAGTGCATACTGTGAATTTAGCTTCCATGGTCTTACGTAAGTGCTCCCTGATACCAGTTTCCCAAAAAGTCAAGTGGCAGAGGCTGTGGTGCTCACACATATTCCATCTGTTCTCTGTGTACCCCAGGCTCCCCTCCAGGTCTGCAGCTCCCCCCTCCAACTGGTGGTGGCTAGAAAACATCAGCATTGGTGCTAAAGGTCGCTTCTAGGCTGAAACAAGGGAAAGGATGAGGGGCAGCTTCCTGGCCTTTCCCCTCCCACCCCTCCTAGTAGAACCAGAAGAGGGAAGCAGCTTGGATCCTTGAGTCACAGCATGGAGGAAACCTGTCCTGGAGTGGCCCTCAGACCCTCAGTGGGAACTTTGGTCATTTTAAGCCGCTGATCATCGAGGCCGGTTGTGACTACAGCATAACCTCATCTATGCGAAGAGCCTTCTAGGCAGCTTTCATCTTGAAGATACAATTTACCTGTGTTACAGGTGGAATTGTTTTCGCCATCCAATTCCTATGTTGAGGTCCTCACTTCCAGCACCTCAAAATGGAACCGTGTTTGGAAATAGGGCCTTTGAAGATGCGATTAGTTAAGGTCAGGTTATTAGAGTGGGCTTAATCCAATAGGACTGGTGTCCTGATAGAAAGGGGATGTTTACACAGGGAGGACACTGTGTGGAGATGTAGGCAGAGATTGGGGGCAATGCTTCTAGAAGCCACGAAATGCTAAAGGTTGCCAGGAAGCCACCAGAAGCTCCTGGAGAAGAAGCAACAGATCCTCCCTTGCAGTCTTGGAAGGAACCAACCCTGCCTTCTCCTTGATCTCAGACTTCCAGCCTCCAGAACTGCGAGATGACCCATTGTGCTATCTCAGCTCCTCAGTTTGTGGTACTTTGTTCCTGGAACATAGCTCTAGCAAACTAACGCAATCCGTAGGAATCCCTATCAGTCTCCTTCACTGTGCAATCTGGGATTTTCGCTTTCATAGCCGTTAGTGTTAAGCCTCAATTAAGGTTCAGAGCCGATGGGCGAGAACTTCACCTTTTGTTAAGCATCTCAGCTTTTGGAACACATCCTGTCTACAATAGGCAAACTGTCCCACCCCCTACCCCCACCCTTGCCATATCCTGGTGGCATCAAGGATTCTGGTGGTATCACACATTGCCTCTCCTTTCCCCATCTTTTCAGGATTTTTTTTTTCCCCCAAGAATTCAAAGTTTGTGATCTGACCTCTTGTCCAGACTCCCTCACCCAAGCACTACTTTAAGCATTCGGAGTACATCAGTGAACAAAACAAAAATCTCTACTCATTTTACTGGAGACAGACAAACAGTAAACAAAAGACACACTATGTACATTATATAGTACAGTTAAGTGGTGATAAGGCAATGGGAAAAGATGCAATAGAGATGGAAAAGGGGTCACAAGAGTGCCAGGGGGTGAAGCATGGGTGACAACTTTACATAGAATGGATGTGCGTGAAAGGAAGGTGCTTTGAGCATAGCCAGTGTTCAGAAACGTTTTTGTAAATTATTCATAATTAAAAGAGTCAGCCTATTGGCAGTGGTTATTTTCAATATCGGAATTCTGTTGAAATTTTTTCTACTACTTTCTGTTCCCTAAATTTTTGTGTGGATGAGGAAAGCTTACTCATTACTCTTTTGTTTTTTGGGGAAACATCTTATTTTGAAATACATTTACATTTACCAAAAATGTTGCAATGGTAGAGTTCTTGTATACCCTGGAAAGTTCCAGCTTCTCTGAATATTAACATCCTGCATATTGCCATGGTACAATTATGGAAAGCAATCCATTAACATTATTAACCAATCTACAACCCTTATGGGGATGTCACCAGTTTTCCTGCCGAAGTCTTTTCTTCCTGTCAAGGGTCCCATCCAGGATTCCACATCGCAGATAATATTCCTGTCTCCTTAGCCTCCTCTGATCTGTGATAGCTCCTTAGTCTTTGCTTTTTGTGACCTTGAAAATTTTGAAGAGCATTGTGCAGGGTTTTGCAGGATGTCCCTCCATGGGGTTTGTCTGATGTTTTCTCATGATCAGATTGAGGTTACGCATTTTTGGCAAGAATATCACAGAAGTGATACTGTGCCCTTCTCAGGGAAACTTATCAATGGTCCACGATAGTGATAGGTCTCATTACTATTGATGTTCACCTCCATCAGGGAATGAAGGTGGTGCCCACCAGGTTTCTCCACCGGAAAGTTGCTCTTTTTCCTTTTGTGATCAGTACGTGTCTTGCGGGGAGGCACTTTGAGACCATTCAAGTATGGCATTCCTCCTCATACGTCTACTCACTAATTGTTAGCATGAATCCATGGTTCTTGCCTGCAACGATTATTACTGGTGTTTTATTATTTTCCTCATTCCCTCCATGTGAAGAGTTTAAATTCTCCTATAGCTAAGAGCTTTTCCTTGTAAGTATTTATTTATGCATTTAATTATTTATTTATATCAGTATGCACCCATTTATTTTCATCTATAGGATATAAGTCAATGCCATCATTTTTTTTTGAAATTGTCGCATCTTGGCCCTAGAGAGCACCTTCAAGTTGACACCTATGTACTTTTGGCATGCCATTATTATTGCTGTTGTTGTTGTTATTATTATTATTATTATTTTCCTTAGCACTTGCTTATTTTCTGGCATCACAGGATGTTCCAAGCTAATATTGTATTTTACCATTTCAAGCCCTGCAATCATTCATTTCTCCTAGGAACCCTGTTTTTTTTTTCTTTCTTTCTCTCTTCTCCTCCTCCTCCTTCTCCTCCTCCTCCTCCTTCAGCTTTAAAAACAAAGATCTGCTTACAGGGATGTCACAACTTCTGGGCCTTCTCAGCAGTCAAAGTTAGGAAACATACACACTCATACTTACATGCACTTACACGATGAGCTCACATTGATGCCTCCAATTCCAATCCAACACCACAAGATTCATTCTAATCACCCCACTTTCCCTGTGTTGAACTCTTTTCTCTAACAGGAGTTTCCTTATTCATGACAAATATCTACTTGTGTGTTTAATTCTAAGTCAAAAAATTCCAATCACATGCCTCTGTGAGACACAAATGTATTAGCTTTTGTATTTTCCTCCCAGCCTGTGCTCTGCCTCCCCGTTCTCTAGACTGTGCCTTTTGCAGAGCAGAAGCTTTTCATTTGAATGAAGTCCAACGTACCTAAAAAGTCATCATCAAACCCAAGGTCATCTAGACTTTTTCCTATGTTATCTTTTAAGAGTTGTATAGTTTTCATGTTTTGATTTAGGTCTATGATTCATCCTGAGTTAATTTTTGTGAAACATGTAAGGTCTCTGTCTACATTCTTTTTTTTGCATGCGGATAGCCAGTTGTCCCAGCACCATTTGTTGAAAAGACTATCATCTCTTCACTGAGTTGCCTTTCTCCTTTGTAAAAGATGAGTTGATTACATTTGTGTGGGTCCATTTCTGAGCTCTTGATTCTGTTCCATTGATCTGTTTGTCTATTCTTTTGGCAATACTACCCTGTCTTACTTGCTGTTGCTTTATAGGAAGTCTTGAAGTCAGGCAGTGTCCACCAACTTTGTTCTTGTTCAATATTGTGTTGGACCTTTTTGCCTCTCCACATAAACTTTAGAACCAGTTTGTCCATATCCACAAAATAACTTGCTGGGCTTTTGGTTGAGATTGCATTGAATCTATTGATCATGTTGAGAAGAACTGACATCTTGTTAATATTGAGTCTTTTTATCCATGAACATGGAATATCTCTGCATTTAACTCTTTGATTTCTTTTATCGGTGTCATCGTTTTCCTCATATTTTGTATGTTTTGTAAGAGTTATATTTAAGTATTTCATTTTGGGGTGCTAATGTAAATGATACTGTTTTAAATTACAAGTTCTAATTGTTCATTGTTAATATATAGGAGAGCAACTTATTTTTGCATATGAACCTTGTATTCTGCGATATTGTTATAATTGCTTATCAGTTCCAGGTTTATGTTGTTGTTAAGTTGATTTTCTATATAGACAATCATGTCATCTGTGGGGGAAAAAAAAGACAGTTTTATTTCTTTCTTCCCAATAAGTATACTTGTATTTCATTTTCTTTTCTTATTGCA